ACTGCTGTACAATTGTTCATTGTTCTGTCCAATATGTTGATTTTGATCCTGCAGTCAGACAATCCAGTCCTTAACAGTCTCGGTCTGCTAAAACAGACACAAACATCACCCTGGACATACGTTACCCTCAAAGGTGGAATTGCTATGTCAGTGTTGTTATACTGGTGTATGTGTTCACAGTTGTCAGCAGGCTGTTTCATTGGTGTCCTCCCTTCCTCCAGGTCCACAGCAGTTTTTAGCACATCAGTCATTTTTTGAGGAATAAGACACTTCGTTTCGTTGACTGTTGCTGTCCTCAGAGGGACGGCTTCCCAGGCATGAGATATTTGCAGACACATCCAGCAACTCGTGTTGATCTCTAGTTTCTCTTTCTGCAGCATCGGCAGTGCGCAGGCTTTGTTCCCTTGGCATTTCATCATGGCTTTCCGCACTTCAGGATTTATTTGACCTTTGCTCATGTCTCCGTTTCCCATCCAGGCCAGTTCCTCTTCAGTAGCCTGTTCGACCTCGGGTGGCACAGGTGACAAGAAAGGTGTCGTCGTCGTTGCTGTTTGTGGTCTGGTTGCCTCGATTACCATAATGTCTATTGTCTCATACCAGTCAGTTTCAGTCAAGTCCAGGGCACAGTAATACCTGCCTTGGTCCGCACGTGTCGCATGTTCCAATTTTACTCTCATCCCGTATATGTTGTTAAGCATTTCATTTACGGCGCGCACCTGAAATCTTTCATCGTATTCTGCCCTGTAGTGATGAGCGTATGCTTTTACGTCGGTCCACCTACATGGGCTTTCACAGAAGTAGAAATGTGCGTACTCTTCAGCATGTCCATCGCACCCGAGACAGTTCTTTTGGAATGGGTTGCACTCGAAAGTCACACTTGATCCCTCCTCTATCGTGATGGTGCTTCCGTGCAGTCCTCTCACTGGCTCCACTTCCGTGAATGTGTCTCTTTTATCAAGTTGTCTGATGGTGCTGTTCAGCACAGATGTTTCAGTCCAGTTGGTGTGTTTTTTCGCAGACGTCACTTTTAAGCCCTCAGTGGAGCACAAATTTATCAAAGTTAGAATGAATATAGTCTTAAAAAGTTCATGCATTCCTGGCAGTCTGAATGGGTAGCACGGTCTTGAATGATCCATCTTGTCTGGTGATTGCAGCTCTATGCAATGATCGATGTCTTTGGTTGTGGCTGCACAAATGACCTTAGTCTGCACACCGGCCTTATCACTCCTTCTGAGTGACCTTGCTCTTGCACCTGGTGTTTTGGCTAGATCTTGGGGTTTGTTGTTGCACTTGTTGTTGTGGCTGAGGCTCCTCCTCCTGTTGCCCTTCCGATATGGGCGGAACTCTCCTGCAGTGGTTGGCGTGCACCCACGTAGCTCTCTCTCTGACCTTCACCGCCGTGTGTGTTGTCAGCAAGACTTGGTACGGTCCTCGAGAGCTTCGCTGAAGAGATGAAAATCAGAGTTTAGCCTGTTGAGCCCCTCTTTTATATACGTTTGCCACTCCCACTTGGTGGGCTGTGACGCGTAGAGGGCGCGACGTCACGCTGGGCTCACCGATAGGCTGCTGCATTTGCTGCAGGACAGCCAATGAGCACACTTACTCAGTCTGCTATGGTCTGCTGTCTGCTGCACTGCGTTGACAATAAATACAAAATTATGGATAATTTTTGGCTTCAGATCTCGAGAAAAGATGACTTTACCGGTAGCGTAAGCAACTTAAGCAATACGAGAGAACCTCTCGTAAGAGAACCGCATTTTTGAAACTGTCTTTGGTTCACTGCAGTTTTGAATTTGCACATGGTTTGTTTTAAAGCAGTGGTTCTCAATCCTGGTCCTGGGGAGCCACTGCTCTGTACAGTTTGTATGTCTCCCTCATTTAACACACCTGATTCAGATCATCAGCTTGTTAGGAAAGCGCTTTATAACTGAAGTGGGTGTGTCAGATAAAGAAGACATATAAAATGTGCAGAGCAGTGGCTCCCTAGTATGGAAGTTTTTTCCTAACATAATTAAAATTAAAATTAAAATGCTTAAAATATCAAATAATAAATCAAAGTCTCAAAACAACTGCTCAAATGATGAATCAAATGGTCAAATTATTAAATAATAAATCAAAGTCTCAAAATGGCTGCACAAATGATAAATCAAATGCTCAAATGCAATTTCATTTCCTCAATCGTGGAAGCATGAACTGTATCAAAAATCAAGTTAAAACTCATTTGTTTTTGATTTTTAATTTTCATTATCAACCCAGTATAAACCTGTCATAATTAAATCTATAAGTCAATGCTCAAATCATAAATCAAATGGACAAAATATAAATCAAATGCTCAAACCAACATCGAAAATGGCAAATCTAATGCTCAAACGGACATCGCAAATGATAAATCAAATGCTCAAACGGTAGCCGGAAACAGCAAATGATAATTCAAATGAAAATGAGGAATGTCAATCAAGTTGCGTGGGCGGAGCTTTGAGCTCAAGATCGATGACAAACTGACAATGTTTATACAAGATATAATTTTACATTTGCGTGCCCTTTCCGAAGATGTGTCATTGGGAAGCTTTGACGAAAAGGTTTTGGAGTCCACGGTGGAATATATTCTGGAGAGAATGGGGGAAATATCGGCCCTTACGGACACCGATGTCAACAATGTTGCGATTGCGAACCTGCGCGAGGTACTGAGGCAACTGCAGGTGCAAAAAATCAGAAGAACGCCAGGGAGACCAAGTCAAAACATCCCTGCAGAGACCATCGAGACGTATCTTTTGCGAGGTATAAAGGCTGCGGAAATCGCAAGATTGTTTGGTGTTTCGGAGATGACAATACGTCGTCGAATGCGTGAATATGGAAAAAGGTAAGTCTCGTATGGGACTTTTTGTGCGTTATCCCAAAATTGCAGTTAAGTTAGTTAAATAAGTTGCAGTTAACTAAGTTAGCCTAGTTATTGGAGAAATTATTCACCGAATGATTCACTAATGTTACGTCTGATCCATTTCTGTCAGAACAGGTCTGTGCAGTTTGATTTGAATTAAAAGCCCTTAGTCTTAATCTTTGCTAAGGGACCAATAACCAAATACTACGTTTTACGTTCCTAGCAGATTTCACAGACATGGCTCACAGAAATGTAATATTCAAGCAGCTTTATTAAAATGCCTTAGATAAAACGGTAACACTTTAGAATACGGTTCCTTCGTTAATGAATAACTACACAGGAACAAATGAGTAACACAATATTAACAATCTAGTAACTACTATTAACTAACAAGAAATTCTGAGTAACGAATTAGTAAGTAACAGTGCACAGATGAAAGTGGTAGTTCACTATTAACTAGTTGATAACTACTATTTTTTAATGCTTTCCAGAGAACTACTGAAGAAGATTAATAATTCATGCAAAACTAATCAATAACTAATGCAGGACAAATGACTAGCACTGCATTAACATTAATAACTGCTACTGTAAACAAATACACAAGGTTTATCAATATGTAATAGCATAGCAGACTTATGATTTGGGAAATAATAATCCTATGCTCTCTCCTAGATAACTATTTATCAACTGAATGATTTTAAAGAAATGGCTTTTTAAATGCAGTTGTCAGCACTTGTCCTGTAGTGATTCAATGCCAGTCCAGAGGAATGCCAGAAAATTGGCCAGAGTCACGGTGACGGCTGGAACATATTGAGTTATCAGCCATCCAAATACCATATACAGTGATTTTATTATTTAACCTATACCTCGCAAAAAAAAAAGAGATTTTATTAATGTCTCCTACCTCATATACGTGTGTGCAAATATCTTGTGAAGGAATAGAAGATTCTACACTTTAGGATTGGCTTTTGATGTAATAATCATGCTAACTAACTAGTAATGACTCAAGTGTTACTACATACTTCTAAAGGAATGACTAATTATTTGGATCCGTATTCTAAAGTGAAGATCATGGTAACTAACTAGTAATTACTCAAGTGTTACTACACACTTCTATGGGAATTACTATCTAAAACTTCACCAAAAACCTCAAAAGCTTAAAAGAATTAGCAACTCCTTTAGAAGTATGTAGTAACAGTTGAGTAATTACTTGTTAGCTACCGTGATCTTCACTTTAGAATACGGATCCAAAGAATTAGTCATTCCTTTAGAAGTATGTAGTAACAGTTGAGTCATTACTAGTTAGTTAGCATGATTCTTACAGTAGTTCTCTGGGAAGCATTAAAAAAAGTACCGGTAGTTATTGATTAGTTAAAAGTGAACTACCACTTTCATCTGTGCGCTGTTACTTACTAATTTGTTAATCAGAATTTCTTGTTAGTTAATAGTAATTACTAGATTGTTAATATTGTGTTACTCATTTGTTCCTGTGTAGTTATTCATTAACATTACTGGTGTGCATCTTGAGACAATGACACTGGCATATTTCAAGATATGTCAAAGTTATTTTCGACTCGAATTTGTATTTTAGTCTGGGACCAACTTAAGAAATGTGTATAAAAAACCAGCGGTAAATTTACTGTATTAGAGGCACTAGAAGGTAATGAAGTCCCATAAAACTTGCTTGCTTCAAATTGTTCTTTATAAATGAATTTGGAACTAGTTTCTGTCTTTGTGGCTTACACTTAGTTTTTCATTTAATTGCCATACCATTGTTTCCCCATTATTGCAGAGTATCTGACCTATACACAGACATATCAAATGATGATCTGGACAGAACTGTAGCAGAAATCCAGAACCTCTACCCCAACTCTGGCTACCGTATGATGCATGGTCACTTGAGCTCAAGAGGTGTTAAAGTACAAGGTAAGACTTGTTCGTCTCAATGTAAAATGATTATTGCATACAATTGGCTACACTTCTACCTGGACACGATTAAATGATGTAACTCCTGAAACAGGCAAATTCGATCTTCAGTTGTCAGAGAATTTATACAGGTAAGATTACGATTTTTTGTTTGTTATTTCTCTCTTTTTTCATATTAGTTGATAGAGTGCGCAAGTCCCTGCGGAGAGTGGATCCACAGGGAACACAGCTACGAGCCTTGTCGCTACGCACAATAAGGCGTCGACAGTATTCCGTTCCAGCACCTAATGCCATGTGGCATATAGATGGGAACCACAAACTAATTAGGTATGTTTTTAAGATTTAAAGGATAAGTTCACAATTTATCTTTTAGTTTGTTGACATTTTGTTCCTTGATTTATAAACGCACTGTTCCAGAAACAAAGAAGATGTACATTTAAAAAATTATTTTGCATAGGTGGAGGATAGTGGTCCATGGAGGCATAGATGGCTTCAGCAGGATGATTGTGTACCTAAAAGCTGCTATGAAAAACAGTGCTTCTGTTGTGCTGCACAGTTTCATAGAAGCTGTAAATCGCTTTGGATTACCCTCCAGAGTGCGATCTGATAAGGGCCGGGAGAATGTTGATGTGGCCTACTTCATGGTGTCCAATCGAGGGGAAAACCGACACTCCCACATCACAGGGCGCAGTGTCCATAACCAAAGGTTGCTTTTTTCCCCCCCTTTTATTATCTCAGCATCTAATATTAAGACATTGTGGGTTTTCTTTCCCACTGTAAAGAAATGCATATGAGGTTTGAAAATATTCTATAATTTCAGCATGTTTTGTAAGAAATGCTGTAGTGCCAAGTATCTACGTTATCACAATACATCGGGCCTGTTGTCTGAGGAAGCATTTATGTTATAATTACAGGATCGAGAGACTGTGGAGGGACGTTTACCAGCAAGTTTTGGACCTTTTCTCCTGTCTCTTCCTTGATCTGGAGGCAGATGGCACATTAAATCCTGACAATGAGGTGCATCTTTTTGCTCTGCATTGGACCTATCTGCCACAGCTGCAAAGGCATCTTGGATTTTTCCAGGACGCATGGAATCATCATAAAATCAGAACAGCAGGCAACCAGTCTCCACTGCAACTCTGGACACGGTTCCAAGATATTCAAGATCCATACCAGGTGCTTTCAAATTGTTAAGTTAGTTACCTGCTAATCAAAATCACAAATGTAAAAAAAGTAGTGGATGACAAACAAGAAACTGAACTACAAAAATATTAAAAGGAAACAGGTTTGTTTTTGGGGCTTACAGTCTAAATGTGCCATTACACAAAACAAGGCCTTAAAAAGGTCTTAAATTCATAAAGACGTGACATTAAAAGTTGCATGTACTGCAAAAATGTCTTCCCCAATCATTTTCTTGGTTTCCAATACAAATATCTTAACATCCTTGAATAAAAATATGTGATCAGAAGGTTGAGTAAAAGTGATTTGTATACTGTAGTTGAGCTAGATTTTTTTGTAAAATAAATAGGACATTACCAATAAATTAAATCTACTGAAGCAAGATTATTGTAGTTAATTGCAAATATAGAAATATTTCATTAGTTACATAAATATAAATTACTGAAACTTCAAAACAATCTTAGGATTACAATGATAATTACTGACAATAACACTGACTGGAGTTGTATTTTCGAACTTTGGTTTGTTATTCATTGTGTAGACATTTACATTTAAAGAACCTATTGACATTGTGTTCTCCTTAATATGTTACATTCATTGTCTACCTCCATAAAAATGCAGAAATCTTGAACACATGAATAGTCTCTCGTCACTTTCTAAGCATCCTTAACTGTAGATTGGGGAGAATGTAACAGATTTTCTTTACTTCAGGTGGATGACGACTATGGTGTGGATTGGGAAGGACCACACTCCTCTGAGGAAGAGGGTGTGAATATCCCCGAGGTTCAACTACCACGAGAACTTACCATTGAGGAAATTGCAACCTTGCCTCATCCTGACGTTCCATTTTTAAGTGCGGTTCAAATTTATTATGATACTGTCAGTGTGATAAACCAGTTAATGTCATAATCACTAAAACTTATACCTCTTATAAGAACTTCAAGTTCAACTCTTGAGATTCTTGAATATAATTTGTTTATTGATGTACAAATACATTTTTCTGATGCACTGGCTGGTAATTACATTTGATTAAACTTACAAATACACATATTAAAAATATTAAAGTACTAGTACATTTACCTTTTTAACATAACATTTCATCTTTAAGTTACAAATTATGTAACTTGCAACAAATAAATAAATGGACATGAAATTATAAAATCATGTAGTATTTAGTTTCATTTTAATTCATTCATTTTCATTTTTTCTCTCAATAAACGGTCCAGTTAAAAGCCTGATGGCAGGGAGCATACTGGCCTCTTCATTTAAAAATCCCAGGAACTCTCCAAATGATTAAATTAATCCAAATCCACTTTCACTTGTGGACACTGCTGCTTTTAAGTCCGCCTGAAAGTCCATATAGTTAGTGTAGTGAGAAGGCAGTTTTATTTTCTCTGTGCATGTGAATGCAGTGGGCATTTTGATGGAGTTAGACACCTCCACATAGAGATGTTGTGGGAGGATTGCCCAACCCACCCAAAATGTAACAAGCTGCTCAATATCCAATGCTGTAGCTGTAGAAAAAATACAAATAAAATGTGTGCACACAATTTACAAAGTTGTGAAATGAGCCAACTGATGTCTGAAATGAATGTGTGGTAACAAGACCATTACCATTTTCAATGTACATCCTGAGGTACGATGCCATCTGGCATTTCAACTCCAGAGGAACCTCTTGATCATCCTCATCTTCATCCTCCTCGTCCTCATTCTGCGTCATTGGCCATATAACTCTTTCTAAAACCATCTATGGACAAAGGAAATAGCATAAATGCTTTAGAAAATGAACAGTTTTGTTAAAGATTGCATGTTTTCAGAACAATAAATAATCCATTACTTCAGGAAGGATGATTTTGTCAACAGCTCTTGGGAACAGCACTGAGATGAGAGAAGGGCGTTCCTTTATCATGAGCAGGACCCCAGTATCCTTCAGACCCCGTTTGATTTGTTTCATCTGCTTCTCTCTACGACCAATAACCTAAAGAATCAATACGAATACATGTACCGTTACACCCCTAATTATTAGTCATGCATTTGCTGGTTGAGCGGCGAGCACTGAATGAATAACCGTTGAGCACTTTGCTAGCGCGTTATTTAACTCAAAGAAACGCATCCTATATGAGACTAATCAGATGTATACAAAATAAACATAATACTACAAATTATATCGAAATAAACTAAATTTGACGGAGGCGGCCGCCTCATAATTGTCTATGCAGGAAAATGCTGTGTATTTAATTTTAATGCAAGCAAAAAGGTACGAGAGGCTGTGCTGTATCGTGAATAAGTCACGGCTGAAGGGGGTTGTTAGGCTAGAATCTTAAAAAATAAATACAAATTTTGTCAAAACTGCTCAGCACTAAATTTGAGCTAGGGAAGTTTCTGAAATTTGATTGATATGACCCTGTAATATGAACTTTTCTTCATCGGGTCTAATCTGCTTTTCACTTCCTGCCCTCCATCTGAATTTCAAACTTCATTAGAATCATGTGACTGCAAACAAGCTATTTCTTCTCATTCAACATCCCGTTTCACACAGAAATACACCACAATACTGAATACCGCATGTTGAAGAATGGTTTCTGCAAGCCACTTCCGGTTTTCTGTAGTTAATGTTGGCAAGTCCCAGCTAAAAGCAAGATCATTCACTTTGTATCGTTCCACATCTGTTAGATTCCGTGGCTCTTCAAGCTACAAAAAAGAGCAAGCAAATTGTTTAAATAAATCATTTAAATTGCAAAATAAAAAGTACTGTGATGACTTAACGTAGAAATAAACTAACCAGAGAAACAATATCGACTACATCTTGGTCTGGGCAGTCTCTCATGTCTGTGATGACTGGCTCATCACTTCCTAGAAGTAGGTTGAACATGGAGGTGCTCAGTCCTGTCAAGAGTGGCCCTCCATGAATGAACGAGTGGCCAATCATTCGACCAATGACTTTAAAAAGATCACTGTCCAGAAGAACTCGTGAGGACGATGGTACCAAGTGGTCTTCTTCTCCATTGAAGAACAGCATTTTTCCAGTGTTATCTTAAAAAGTTTTAAAAGTTGGCAATTAGTTCACACTATAATTAAGACAAAAACTTCTCAATTGCACAAGAAAAGTAAATAGAATACACTTACCAATATTTAAAATGAAGCCGTATTGTATTCTGGACATAAGCATCGCAAAGTAGTAACGCGTTACACCATCCCCAATTGCAGCATCACCTGACGCAATAAAAAAAGCATTCTTTATACATACAAATAGTATATAAATAATAATTCTATGTCTAATGAAAAATATTCCGTTTTAACCATACCTTTAAGGTTGATTGATAGTGGGGATGCCCAGTCAGTTCGGTTTGACTTGTAGAATGACAGAAACTGTCTATCTCTGTCTTCCATACTGCTGGTTAGATCTAGTGTAACCTTAAGGGGTGTCTGATTTTCTGATCCATGTAATAAATTTCTTCTAAACTGGTATACTGCCTGCTGTTCATCACTCTCGATTTTCCAATCTGAAAATATAAGTTTCAAACATACAAATTAACCCTCATCTTGTCAGTAGAATCGTGGTTGGCTAGTAATTTTTTTTATTGCCAGACAGATATTTCCTCATAAAACTATGTAAGGGTTAATGCCCGTATGGGTTGCCTCCGCCGAAGTCCACTAATACCTAGACAATGGACATCTCGAAGGGCATTAACCCGCTTATACCATGGTCACTTGTCAATTTACACATTTTTAAAACATTAGTTTATATTTTAATTAGTTTTACAATCGAAATCTAAAGTTTTTACAAACATTAAACTGGTGGTTGCGCTTAAAATATTAGGCCATTCCAGAGTTTCCGCAAGAAAAAAATGGTGCCGGCCAAAGTGACCGGCAGAGGTTTCGTTTAACTGACATTTTGATGATATGCCGGTCAAATATCGCCTCTTAATTAGTCAAGTTGAGGAAAACTGGAGGCAGGCTATGTAACTTAAAAAAATGACATAATCAGGCCATATAGAATGCAACATGTTATCATTAGTCTAACTTTCAAATAGACGGAAGTAAACATGAACGTCCAATTGGCGTCAATTAACACCAATTGTTTTTTACTATGGTTTCACACACATTCACTTTTTGAAACATTTCAGGATTCCGTACCAGGATACGTTAAATAGGGAAGCCAGGGACCGGTATGTGGACAAAATCGGCACTTTTAACGGTTTGGATCCATATGAAATTTCCTTACAAACCGTTAAAAGTGCCGATTTTGTCCACATACCGGTCCCTGGTTTCCCTATTTAACGTATCCTGGTAAATTCCACATCCTTTTAGGGATTTTAACATATTTTTTCTTTTCTTTCTCCCAACTCTGCTGCTGCTTCTCCTCGATCGACTTGCTGTATGTTTACTTTCGCGAAGCTGTCAACATGGCGGCCACGCCAAGTAATGACGTCACGACGCCCAAGCCCTATTACCAGACAACGAAAACCCTGGGCCATTCAGTGTTCTTTTGTAAAAACTATTGTTTACTATTCTTGTCTGCTTTGACATCATCTCGCCCAATTGCATTTGAAGACATTTGATAAAAAGAACCATTTAGAATATTGCTGGAAATGTGCAGACCCTTCACTACAGCACGGATCTCAGATCCACTGGTCTCTTGATGCTCCTGCTCTCTACCAGAAAGAATGCTCCCTGCTCTGCTGCTGTTTTCGTGAATGGAAAGGCTGTTGCTGCTTCCTGCTCTGCTGCTGCTGCTTTCGAGAATGGAAAAGCTGTTGCTGCTTCCTGCTCTGCTGCTGCTGCTTTCGAGAATGGAAAAGCTGTTGCTGCTTCCTGCTCTGCTGCTGCTGTCGAGAATGGAAAAGCTGTTGCTGCTTCCTGCTCTGCTGCTGCTTTCGAGAATGGAAAAGCTGTTGCTGCTTCCTGCTCTGCTCTCATAATGTAGGGTGTTGGGACTACTTGCTGGTGTATTGCTGCAAGTAAAGCTGCCCTGCATGTTGCTAAAGTGGAGTTTTAAAAGACTTGTGATCAGATTATAATAATATAATGTGTGAATAGGGCACTGTAAATTGGACACTTCAGAAATAAAATTTAAAGTAGCCTAAGAAATATACTTACAGTTCACAGCAATCAACATGTTCTTGTATCTCCGGTAATGGGAAAATCTTGCTGCAATACAAACAGACCACTGGTGGCCCATTTCCAGACACTTGTCCTACAGCAACCTGCCAAAAACATGCCAAACTTACAAAGGCTTAAAGTGATGCAGTGATAGTTTTAAAGGGACTGTTCACCTAGCCTGGTAATACCAGACTCTGCTACTTCACTTTGCTTCGTACACAGAGTCTGGGATAGCATAATAGAGAAGTGTTTTCTCTCTCGCTAGGGGGCGCGTACTGAAGTTTAAAATCATTGGTTACCCGTAAGCCAATCAGATAAGTTTGTTTATGACGTATGTTATGCTCCGACACAACCGCATCGAACCACAGACATCATGCATCGAACTCAAATCTACGATCGAACTTCCACTGTAAACACTTGATGATGCGAGCGAAATACCCGAGTGAACATGGCTGTAAACGACTTTTTTGATCTGTGAGTGATGTAATAGAATGACTGCTGCGCTTGACAGGGCACAAACGAGCAGAGAGAGAGAGAGAGAGAGAGAGAGAGAGAGAGCCCGGGCCGCGCGCGCGCACTCCCACGTCTACAAACAACACGAGCGCTGTCTTGCTCTCTCTCCCTCGCGCATATTCATATAAATCAATCGACAAGATAGTAAGAGGTCGGAAGACCGCGGTTTCACGTGGAGCATTTGGAGATTTTTAGAGATTATAGACTCTAGGAACAACATCTCAATGAACAACATCTCAACTATAAAGGCCTGTCTCATATAAGTTAGACGCCTATCTCAAGTACAAGCCGGTGCAGTTCGACGATTTGGGCAAATAAAAGCCCGGGCTATTATTTGAAGTTTTACGGTATTTAAGACCTGGAAAAGAAAAGCTACACTGACCTGTCAAAAGGCTCCCCAGTTTCTCGCTGACGATCGGTAATAGTTGATAAATTAAACTTTTCCCAAAGGGAGTAGGGCCACAACATCACCTCCATTCAAAGTGTTTAATACACACTCTTCTTGTTCGGGCTTCAGTTTGCTAATGCCGGGAATATTCTCCACAACAGAGCGAATTGCATCCGCATCTCCATATCAGCGGTCGTTTTCGATTTCCCTGACCTAATCTTAAACACGGCGCTTACCGACTACGTCACGGCTTTCAGCCCGCCCTCTGTTCGTTGATTGGCCAGGCTGTTTTCAGGCCGGTGGAAAACAGAAAGATAGGCTGCTATCTCAGACTGAGTACAGGAGCGAAATGAAATTAGCGGAAGTAGGAAGTCTGACGTAGTCAGGCTACTGTTCACCCAGCTCTCGTGCTTGGACGTGAGCACTTTAAAATATAATCTGTGAGCACTTTAAAATAGAATTACAGGGCTCCAGACTAACTTTTCCACTGGTTGCACTGGTGCTACCAACTTTCTCAGTTGGTCGCACCAGCATATGATTTGGTCGCACTTTTTTTTTTTTTTTGCTACATGCCATGGGATTAATCGATGCATGCTGATGAATAGTGGTTTTAATGGCCCAAGGCTAGCAAAGGCTTTCTGGGTTGCAGCATTTATACCTGTAATATATTATATAAAAAAAAAAAAAAACATGTATTATATGATAATTATCATTGCCAAATTTCAGGATTTTCGTGGATTTTGGACAGTAATTTTAATCTGTAATTTTAAGCATTTTACATTTGAATTATACAATCTAAAAAATGCTGGGTTGTTTCAACCCAAATTTGGGTCTAATATGGACAAACCCAAATGTTGGGATGAAAATGCAGGGCTTGACATTAACTTTTTGAGGCACTTGTCCTTCGGACAAGTAAATTTAGGTTTCTCTTGCCCATGCACAAAAGTCACTTGTCCCGGTAAAGATTTATAATTTTATCTAGGGCTGCACGATTTGGGGAAAATGTCATATTGCGATTATTGAGTTCAATATTGCGGTTGTGATATGCGATTGCGATATAATAAACAAATGGTTTCATGAGTCAACTTGTTTGGTTCTAAACCAAATGCACACACAGATTAGTGATAATTCTGAAATTAGCAATAACAACTAAATGATTGATAACACCTATAATGATCAATAAGCCATTGATGTCTGGATAAAAATGAACTGTATAACAGGTAGGACATATACAGAAATTGAATAAAGTTATCAAACAGTCTGGGCTGCATAAATTATAAATCATATATAGACTACTACTTATTGAAGCTACACAAGTTCTTTAGTCAAGAGCAGTGAGTAATTTTCTCTGTTCCCTTTGTTCTTTCAGTAACTTTACTGACAGAACGCTTTATTGGTAGCTGGCCCTTTAAGAGCAGCCGCTGTGGACAGAGACGCGGATATCACACGCGCCTCATTCTCTCACGAGTCACAACTCTTTATGTCCATCATAAGACTGTTCTTATGTTATGAAGATACTCGACAAATGACATTTTGGCTTAATTGTGTGTGTTGTTGATGTTCGTTCAAGCGCGAAAGAGAACTTCTGGCGCGCGGTCTGTGCATGCGCATTATACTGGCGCGCGTCTTTCTGTGAGTCACATTCAGGACATTCACAGGCAACGCGAAAAAATGTGTTCGTTTCAAATCGGTAAAATTAAATCTGTAAAATAGACGTTACGAGTGGCACATAACGTGAAGTAACATGGCATTTTATTTTGTTTGAAATGTAACTTGTCCGGTCGGACAACTAATTTTCTCTTCTACTTGTCCTACAAAAAATCCACTTGTCCCGGACAAGCGGACAAGCCTTAATGTCGAGCCCTGAAATGTAATAAAAAAAAATTTACAGTTGGAAGGGAAAGTTGAAGTTGGGTTGAAATTTTTAATTACATTTTTAACCCAACATTTGGGTTTGTCCATATTTGACCCAAATTTGAGTTTAAACAACCCAGCATTGTTTAGAGTGTATACATCTATCTATTTACATTTTAATTATATTCTATCTATCTATCTATCTATCTATCTATCTATCTATCTATCTATCTATCTATCTATCTATCTATCTATCTATCAGCATCATCTTTCTATCTTTTAAAAATCATTAAACATTAAAATGTATGCATTACATTTTAAAAGATGAGAGTAGTATAATATGCTGATACAGATTTTCCGTTATCAAAGTTTATAGTTGTAACAAAAATTAGAAATCTCACACTCCTTACCTTCTGCATTTTACAATAATTTTCCTCTGTCGATCGATTACTATCATCTAACCGCTGAAAAGACATAGGAAGGGGCTCGGTATTTCGTGAGACCTTTTCATTTTAATATGCCTTAATTCCTGAATTCGTAATTGGCGCGTTTCACCATCAGTGTGCAATGCACGTGACGTGTACGTTCGTCAATAAATAAACTGCACGTGTCTTGCGGAAGAACACTGTAGCCGGAGCTACTTCTCTCCGTTAATGTCTATGGCGAGTCACGCAGGCACTGGGCAACTCCGCAGCCGAGCCCGGGATAAAATAGTCAGAATATAAACACTTCAGTGTTTCCCCTAGGATTTTTTTTCAGGGGGGGGGGGGGGGGGGGGGCTGCTAGTGTTGCGGAGCGGGCGTGTTACGGATACGTGGTGTACATTTTTTAGCAATCAAAAAGCATGTCTAATTAATTGAAATAGTGTATTATGAATCATTAAACGTATACAACATTTTAAAAAAAAATATGAAAAAAAATTTCACACTAATTCTGTGTTGTGTTTTTTCTGGTAATAAAATGAAGACATAAAACACAAATGTTATCATTTATCATCAGCTTTAATCATATGAAATTAAATAAACTTTTTGTCAAATAACGTGCTGCACAATGAGCTTTACTGTTAAAATTAAAACATGGATTATTCCTAAAAAAAATCAGTTTTGATGATAATTTATTTGGATTAGTGTTAGTATTATTACATTGGGACATATCTAAATTCTACTGTACAACGGTAATATATTTCTGTCACGTTAAACCGAACTTTTATTTTGACGGGTTGCCGTGAAGACCTTTTGTGTGTGTGTGTGTGGTACGTTAAATGAAACTGCGCGTCGGCTGCACCATTCATTCACACAGAACAAGCAGGATTCGTATTTAAATAGTCTTTGTGGTTTAATATCCACACACACTTGTCTACATCGCGATTTGATTTCAAGTGTATACTGAACTGCTTTCTATTTATTTCTCAAAAGATTGACAAATTCCATGAAATTCCGCGTTATACAGTAAATTTCTTTTTAATGACTGGATTTCGTCAGCAATTTAGGGGGGGGCGGGGGGTCGTTTTGGGGGGGCGGGCCGCCCCCCCCAAAACAATGGTAGGGGAAACACTGCACTTATTATAAGCGTACCGTAGGGATTCAGGATAAATCAAAAACACGGTTTGGAAAATGGATTCATGATGTACTCGTTCATTTTCAACATAAGTTACGTTACGGACTGCAGCAGCTGATACAACGGCGTTCTGTTGCGCGAGCGTCCACTCGCACAAATGCGACCACATACAATTAACTCGCACATTCTCAAAAAACGGTCGCAGTCTGGAACCCTGAATTAGTAATTCTAGAAAAAAAAATTACTGGAAAAGCTGCTGGAAAATAAGACAGGCAATGCCGTTTTGACATAGCAGCATTCTATGTTCGATCATGAGAGAAGAGAAGTGTCACAACATACAATGTAAACAGAAAAACAAGCAATACATTGACACTAGAAACATTTGAGCTATAATACTAATAGTAATTTAAAGATGTGGTAGCATTGGATCTGGACGGGAAGGATAACTCTGGGAGTTGGCAGGGGTGTGTCGCAATCGCGATTCTGCCTTCTCACATCGCGATACAGATCGTGGATCTGAATATCGCGATTTCGGTTTTATATCGCGTATCGTTACAGCCCTAATGGAATACTGAAAACACAAGTGAAATATTAATTACTGACTGTATGTATAAGGTTCACATTGCCAGTTTTTTGGAATTGACAATTTTATTCAATCCTGGATCTAAAACCTTCAGATGACACGTAGCTCAGCTCTCTGTGGCTGAAAACTCGCAACAAACAGTAGACACTCTAAAAGATTATGTGGGTTTTTGTTTCTAGTCTGACGTATTTTGTACATACTAAAACTCATCCACTTGTTTGGTTATCCCCATGGTGTTCGTGGAAACCCATTTGCAAAGTTCTTCCCGTGAGGCTACATGTATCTGCTCTTTCCCTTAGTATGTCCTTTTGATCTATTTCGTATGCACAGTGGTGTAGTCTAGTTTTTTGTAGTGAGTATACTGTGATATACTGTAGGCTAAGTTACATTTGTGACTGGATTCCGTGATTCGATCCGTGTCGCTGCACAAACACAGACGGCGCGGTGAATTTATGAATGAAAGTTCTGTCACAAAACGATGTTGTTACGAATCCTCACGCTTTTTTAAGTGGGTATACGGAGATCCTTGACCTTTCCTAGTGGGTATACGGAAATCCTTGACATTTTCTAGTGGGTATACGGCGTATACCTGCGTATCACATAGACTATAGGCTACCACTGCGTATGCAAATTATCTTTAAGTTCTGTACCACAAACAGCTTTGTTTTAAGAATTTTTTAAACACTTACTTCTGTATTCAGATCTTTTTGCAGGGGTCTTACATAAATTGTTGCAGCTCCTATACCGACTGCATCAGAGCACAAATATTCAGGAGAGTAGCCTTCATCTGGACATGGGATAGGTTCCAGAATTTTTGTCCTGGTGCAGCCTCTCGTCTTTAAAAGCTGAAAACCACCAGCTTCACTCAGTTTTGGGAACTGGCGCATGAGTTCTTGACTAAACTCTGACGAAGAAGAGTATTTGTCTGATGAGGAAAACATTTAAAGAAAATGCACATTAACATGCAGTTATCAGTTATGATATTATGTATATGATATAACTGTTATTATCATAACTGTTGCAAACTCACCAGAGAAAATAATTTTCTTTTCTCCAAGTCCAGCTCTCTCCAGTTGAAATTTTTCTGGCACCTTTGGAACTTCTGAATCTTTCCTCTTGGCTAGGCAAAAGAATCTGTGTGTGTATGACACACACTTTTTTTTCAGTCTAGGAGATTGTGAAGGAGGGAAATGCCCAGTTCTTCTTAGTTGATTAACTGGACGACGAGGGTAGGGTGAAAATAATCGATTCACCTCACCTAGAAATGTCAAAATTTAAAGCAGTGCTAAATACAAAGTCAATGCCTTAAGTATAAAAAAATCATTATTAGCTTAACTCTGTCCCCTTACAGCACCAATATGACAAAAGTAGTATGTCTCAATTCAAAGTACTCATTAAAGAGCAGGCAAAAAGTACATAGATGACATACTTTTTCCAGTAACTCAGGTGTTCTGTTGTTGGATGTAAGAGTGAACATAGCAGTCTCCGTACACCTGACACCAGAGCAGCTGATAAGTGCATAAGACGCAGTGGATTACTTTTATTTTTCGAAGGTAATGCCGCCCCTTACTTTTACTTTTATACTTTAAGTAGTTTTGAAACCAGTACTTTTACACTTTTATTTGAGTAAAAAGCTTGAGTTGATACTTCAACTTCTACAGAAGTCTTCTTAAACCCTAGTATCTATACTTTTACTTGAATAAGTTAATGAATTATGTGAATAACGTTACTTTTGACACCTGGCAGTAATGAAGGGGAGAGGGCACACTTGATGTAAAATAAAGCTTGAACAAGTGACCGTAACGGCCTTGTGGAAGGGCCCTTTAGAAGGGATCCCGTTGTTCTCTTTCCCTGAATGCCCTTAAAGGGCGCAAAATGGCGTTTGGAACTAAGTACAAAGTTAAAACAGCTAATTTCAGATTCATTTTGAAAACATGACACAACATTTATTTTTACCATAGATATGAAGGGGACTGGAGCGATTACAAAATGGCTGACTGAGATTAACGTTAGACTCACCTTGCAACGTTACTACCTCTTGTGCCCGTCGATCTGGAGCACATTCAACCGAAGGCTGCTGGGGAGGGCCGGTTGTCAATAAGGTGCTCTGCTCCAGGGCCTCTGCTGCATCCCTTAAAAGTCTTGTAATTGCATTTGTGTCCATTATTAAAAAACGATGTCGTCGAAGAGGTAATTTGGTAAACACTCGACAGGAGCGCCTGAGGTAACGTTACCACGGCCCGTTGGTCTTAAAGCTCCGCCCACGCAACTTGATTGACATTCCTCATTTTCATTTGAATTATCATTTGCTGTTTCCGGCTACCGTTTGAGCATTTGATTTATCATTTGCGATGTCCGTTTGAGCATTAGATTTGCCATTTTCGATGTTGGTTTGAGCATTTGATTTATATTTTGTCCATTTGATTTATGATTTGAGCATTGACTTATAGATTTAATTATGACAGGTTTATACTGGGTTGATAATGAAAATTAAAAATCAAAAACAAATGAGTTTTAACTTGATTTTTGATACAGTTCATGCTTCCACGATTGAGGAAATGAAATTGCATTTGAGCATTTGATTTATCATTTGTGCAGCCATTTTGAGACTTTGATTTATTATTTAATAATTTGACCATTTGATTCATCATTTGAGCAGTTGTTTTGAGACTTTGATTTATTATTTGATATTTTAAGCATTTTAATTTTAATTTTAATTATGTTAGGAAAAAACTTCCATACCCTAGGACCAAGATTGAGAACCATGCTATAAAGCATACCGGTATATAACCGGTATACACCACATAGACATATGAACAACATTAAAAGCTTAAAATATACATAAGAATTTAAAAATATGCAGTTAAAAAAACATTAAGTTTACAAACATTTCCTTCAACCAAAACTCAACACAATGTAATGCCAGATTTGAAGGATCATTCATGTCTGTATACAACAAACTCAATGAGGCTACAGTATAAGAGTATGCTCCAAAAAATATTTAGGCCTAAATTTAGGTTTATGTATTCGAATTGCACATAAAATATACATCCGTTTGGATAACCCAGTTTTAACATAAACTCAATATGATGCATATTTGTCAGTCATACATAAATAAAACAGGTATTATTTTGTTATGTGTTGCTGCAATGAAGTGCACTATCACAAGGAATAAAACAAAAACAATCTTTGATAACAATACAAAAATAGAAAACGCAGGAGATAACCAGGGTAGCTCACAACAAAACATTAACGACAAGGAACACAGAACTGAGGAAACTAGGGACTTAAATATTGAGACCGAGAAATCAAGGTAAAACTATCAGGGTTCTGTCACTTCTGTCTAGTTTATTTCTTAGTTTTGTGACAGAGCTCTGACACTCCTTCAAGGCTTGTACTACCTTGGAACCTGTTGCAGGGTTTGCGTTCTCGAGCCGCCAGGCACTGTTGTTGTGCGAGTGATCAGTCACCCGGCTGTTAAGATAAAATCATTTAATGTAATGCCAACTGATATGACAACTACCTACAAGGGCCTATATGGTGAATACAGTATGAAATACTGCGCTTTTAAGGCAGTCAAATCTATGTTAAGATGCTCCTGAGCCTCAATGGATCTAATTTTCTTCTTAAGTATTGTGTTTTTCAAAAAGAAGAAGGAAAACGTTGTTTGCGCAGTGCCCAGGTGCACAGGATATAGCCATGATTAGTCTACACAGTAAATTTGAAACCCGGAAATCAACACCAATAGAGTTAATTTCAACACTTTAAAAGTGTATATATGGGAACTGTTGAAGATTTTATTATTTAGAAAACAAGTAATTTAGCCTTATAAGAATACACAATTATTTCTTGTATGAGTCCTCTAAAAGAACTCTGTCTAGGTGACTTTGAAAGCTGCAAGACCTTCTGTAAAAAGACCCTGAATGTCAATTCTATTCTGAGAAGTCACATGGTACAAGGCCTTCACCCAAAACTATCTATAAGTGTATGACCATCTTTGGAAAAGGATGTATGGATATATGTGAGAAGCTGGGCACTGATCGGGAGTGATCGCCTGCAGGAGGAAGGGATCTCCTGCTGGAGGGAGTGATCCCCTGCAGGAGATGCTCGGCTTTGTTTGTTAATAAAGTCTAATATTTCTGGCATCAAAGATCTCTGCAAAGTTATTTTACAGAACAATTGAAACCACTTCAGAACCACCCACAAAGTGTTAGTTCAACACTTTCAAAAGTGTTGCCTCTCGCAACACCGACACAGTGTTACAATGTGAACACTAAGAGTGTAAAATATAGGGTTCTGCATTACCTACTTTAAAGAAATGTAAAATAAGATGACAAATCATTTAATCTGAAAAGAATAAATTCACTTTGAAATAAACACATCACTCTATATTACTCTTTCAAAACTTTATTTCAAAACAATCCAGAAAGTTAAATTGTAACCTTAGTCTGGGATTATAGTAGAATTCTGTATTCATTGTAAAGTTAAAAATAAAGGCAAAATGCAAACAGTTGTTCTCTTATGAGAGGTTCTCACGTATTGCGTAAGCTAGCTTACGCTACGGGAAAGATTCATCTTTTCTGAAAATTTGAAGCCAAAAAATTATCCTATAATTTTGTATCCATTGTCAACGCAGTTCAGCTGCAGCAGACCATGAGCGGGCTAGCTAGCAGCTCATTGGTTCGCTCACAGAGAACTGCTTAAGCCTATGAGGAGACGCGAATGAACTCTCGGCCAATGAGAGTCTGACCTGCTCTCATTGCGTCAGAGCCCACCGAAACGGGCGTGGTCAGAGAGTATAAATTAGCGTCCCAGGCTGTAAACTCTGATTTCCATCTCTTCAGTGAGGCTACACGCATCTGCTGATCCTGAGAGAAGCCACCGTCGTTGAAAAGGCAACTCTAGCGAGCATCTGGGAGACTGAGGAAGCCGGCCGTCTTCGCCACCTTCAGCCGTCCTGCGAGCTAGCGCCATCCGACGGATTTTTATCCTTTTTACAAAAAAGCTTCCTATACTTATTTGTATCTAAAAGAGCCGAGCGTCTTTTTAAAGATGTCTCGTAAATCCTCCTGCGGTTCTTGCCGCGCTCCCCTCGAGACTGGAGACCGCCACGTCATCTGCGCTCTCTGCCTCGGATTGGAGCACGCCGAGCTCGCCCTCGCCGATGGCGGCTGCGATCTCTGCGAGGACATGCCGTTGTCGACCCTGTGGGCTCGACTTCAGGCCACTAAAGTTGCTTCCGCGACGCCTCTGACTTCGCCGCGGAAGAAGAAACGCCGCTCTCAGAGGCCGCCGGAACCCCAGCTAGAAGCGTTCATCCCGCCGGAGCCTGTCGCCTCCCGCTCTCCTTCTCCGCCGCTTCCGGACATACAGTTGCCGCCGAGTGGCCGCTCTGTCGCCTCCGATGACGCCGCGGACATTAAGGAAACCTGTTCGCTTCTCGCTTCAGACAGTGAGGAATGGTCCGGTTCTCACGCCTCCTCGGCCCGAGAATCCTCTGGGACCCGCGCTGGAATCGAGGAGGAATTAGTGCGCCTCCTCTCACAGGCCGTTGAACGCCTCGGGCTCAATTGGTCCCCTCCCCCCGAGCAGACCATCAACCGTATGGACGGCAGCTACTTCCGCCAGCGCTCGACTCCCTGCCTGAACTGCAAGCGGAACTCACGAAGTCCTGGAATGCCCCGATCTCTGCTAGAACTCGCTCTGATTCTTCCGCCCCGCTTCGCGTTGTGGACGGAGCCGCAGAAAAGGGCTATCTCTCCATTCCCCCTGTAGAGGACCTGGTCGAGCCGCAGAAAAGGGCTATCTCTTCATTCCCCCTGTAGAGGACCTGGTTGCCGCACATTTATGCCCGCCTTTCACGAGATCACCTGTGCTTCCCTCTAAAGCCTGCAGAGCGACTTCAAGCTTTCACGCCCGCGCTTACTCAGCCGCCGGCCAAGCAGCCTCTGCACTTCACTCCATGTCCGTCCTTCAGATACTACAGGGTGATTTACTTCGTGAATGGGACGAGAGCGGAAAAAATCCCCCCACAGTCGCGGATTTGAGGAGCGCCACGGACATTGCCCTTCGCGCTACAAAATCTGCTGCTCAAGCCCTGGGGAAATGCATGGCCGCCATTTGTGTGTCTGAAAGACATTTGTGGCTCACACTCGCCGACATGGGAGATTCTGAGCGCGCCGCCTTTCTCAACGCCCCGCTCTCTCCATCCGGCCTCTTCGGATCTGCTGTCACGGGTATCGTTGACCGTTTCTCCAAAGTGCAGAAAGCCTCCCAGGCCATGAATCTTTTTCTGCCTCGTCGCGCTAGCTACTCTGCAGGCCGCTTAACTGACCAGCCTCCTGCACGAGCCCCAGTCCAGCGCCCAGCTCAGCACAGTCAGACTTCTCAGCAACGCCAGGGCGGCCACCCTCGTTCTCGCTCTGACAGCCGCCACAGACCGCCGTCAAAGTTTCGCCCTCTGTTAGTCCCCGCTCATGCGGCTACTACAGCAGTGTACCCCGCCATTACCAAGCCGGTCCCCTTTCCCGCTTGCATGAGCACAAACGCCGTTTTCACGGCGACCCAGAGAAATCTCAAAAAGAGCATAAAAGCCTCCTGTGTAGAAAATGTGCCCACAACACTGTGTTCACTCATACACAAAGGCATTTCAGTTCCCGTGTTTCTCACAGAGCCCACTCTCATAAAGCAGTTCCAACCCGCTCGAGTTTCAGAGTGCATAAGCGCTCCCACGAGCCTGTGTGCGCGTCCCATCTCTGCTTACTCTGTTACACGGCCCTTAAACTCCTCTCTGAGTGTAAGTCCCGCTGTCATAAACACTTTGAGCGCGCTCGCGCTATGTGCAGCAACGGGGACCATGTAGCCATTCACCCCTTAGCGTTACGCTTCAAAGCGTGGGAAGCTATTCCGGGAATTTCCCAGTGGGTGCTAAACACAATAAGGCTAGGCTATCGCTTACAGTTTCACCGCCGCCCTCCACGTTTTCGAGCGCGGCTAGAAACTATTGTGAACCCAGAAGCAGTGACACTGCTCCGTTCAGAGATAGCAAAACTATTGTGCAAAAGGGCTATAGAGAGAGTTCCTCTATCTATGAGCGAGTCGGGGTTTTACGGCCGTTATTTTCTGGTTCCAAAGAAAGACGGCGGCCTCAGACCAATCTTAGACCTCAGATCTCTGAACAAAGTTCTCATGAAGAGACCGTTCAAAATGCTCACTATCAGAAAACTCCTCGCGCATGTGCGCCAGGGGGACTGGTTCATTTCACTAGATCTGAAAGATGCTTACTTTCAGATTCAGATAAATCCCCTTCACAGGCCATTCCTACGTTTCGCCTTCGAAGGCCAGGTTTATCATTACACCGTCCTTCCGTTCGGCCTATCCCTAGCACCCCGTACGTTCACAAAGTGCATGGATGCGGCGCTCGCCCCCCTGCGGAGTCAGGGGCTGCGAATACTGAACTAGTTGGACGACTGGCTGATTTTGGCACAATCACAGAGAGAGCTACTGTCTCATCGTACAGTTCTCCTCGACCATCTGAAAGCTTTGGGCCTCTCTGTCAACTGGACAAAGAGCGCACTACAACCCAGTCAGACTTTCTCCTTCTTGGGTATAGAGCTAGACTCGGTCACGATGACGGCTCGTCTGTCAACACAGCGCGCGCGCCGTGTTCAGCGTCTCGCCGCATCTTTTCAGATGAACAGACTCACACCTCTGAAAACTTTTCAGAAGGCGTTGGGTTACATGGCCTCAGCCTCCGCGGTGCTCCAGCTGGGGTTACTGCGCATGCGACCGCTTCAGCTCTGGTTGAAGAGCCGTGTGTCTCACCGTGCGTGGACCACGGGCCGCCAGCTGATAAAAGTAACGCAGACCTGTATCACAGCTCTGCATCCGTGGACTGTGGCAGAATGGTTTCAGCGGGGCGTTTCCATGGGGACCCTTTCTCGCCGAAAAGTCATCTCGACAGACGCATCCAACACGGGTTGGGGTGCGGTCTGCGAGGGCTCACCGGCCTTCGGCCCCTGGTCAGCTCAGGAGAGCCTCCTCCACATAAACTGTTTGGAGATGCTGGCGGTCGAGAACGCGCTCACGCGCTTTCTTCCGCGCATTCACGGTCACCACGTGCTGATCCGTTCGGACAATATAGCCGTGGTCTCCTATCTAAACCGTCAGGGCGGAGTCAGATCCAGGAATCTCTTCCGGCTGACAGAACGCATCTTAGTTTGGTCTCAGTGTCACCTGCTCTCGCTCAGAGCGACGCACGTGCCGGGTCATCTGAACGACGGTCCAGACAGTCTGTCCAGGAACCCCATTCCCCCCGGGGAATGGTCCCTGCACACTCTTACAGTCCAAAAGCTGTGGCGAATATTCGGCAGAGCAGAGGTGGACCTCTTCGCCTCAGAAGAGAACACCCACTGCCCAATATTTTTCTCAAAGAGCGGGGACGCGCTAGCCCAGACCCGGCCCAGCCGCCCGCTTTATGCATTCCCTCCGGTTTCTCTGCTACCACAGGTGCTTCAGAGAATCAGGGAAACACGCCACTCGGTGCTCCTCATAGCCCCGCATTGGGAGGGTCAGACTTGGTTTCCGGAGCTCACTCAGCTGTCACAGACAGCCCCGTGGCCCATTCCAATCAGAGCAGATCTCCTCTCCCAAGCTCGCGGCACGATCTGGCATCCCCACCCAGAGCGCTGGGCGCTACATGCGTGGGTGATCAACAACTACCCGTTGCTTTGCCAGAGGGAGTGTTAAACACGATCATACAGGCTAGAGCGGCTTCTACTAGAAGGCTCTATGCGTCTAAATGGTCTGTGTTCTCTAAATGGTGCACCGACAGAAACTTGGACCCACGGTTATGCGAGGTTCCTTCCTTGCTAGTTTTTCTCCAAGAGATGTTGGACAAGGGCAGGTCCCCGTCCACTCTCAAGGTGTATGTGGCAGCCGTCGCAGCGTTCGTTAAACCCGGCGCGGCCAGTCACTGGGCAAAGATGGCTTGGTCATCCGCTTCCTCAGAGGAGCTAGAAGGATAAACCCCCCACGCCCCCCTTCGGTGCCGATTTGGGACCTTTCCATAGTTCTCGAAGCTATGAAAGCCCCTCCATTCGAACCGCTAAACACAGTGGACCTCAAATACCTTTCGCTCAAAACAGTTTTTCTGCTCGCATTTGCGTCAGTAAAACGTGTGGGGACCTTCACGCGCTGTCCATTAGCGCTTCCTGTCTCGAGTTTGGGCCCAATGACTCCTTAGTAGTTCTCAAACCTAGACATGGTTATGTCCCAAAAGCGATTGGTACTCCGTTCAGGGCACAAGTTATTTCCCTATCGGCTCTGCCTGCATCCGATAGCGAATCTGACTCAAATCTCCTGTGTCCGGTCAGGGCCCTGAGATTATACATTACTCGCACTGCTCCGGTCAGACGATCCGAGCAGCTTTTTGTCTCGTTCGGCGGGCGCACCAAGGGGTTGGCCGCCTCGAAACAGACTCTATCCAGATGGATAGTTGATGCCATTGCAGCCGCATACGCATCAAAAGACCTGCCATGCCCTCTGGGCATCAGGGCTCATTCCACTAGAGGCATGGCCTCATCGTGGGCATGGTCCAGCGGAATTTCCATTCATGACATTTGTGTGGCAGCGGGATGGGCTTCCCCCTCCACCTTTGTCAGATTTTACAATGTGGAAGTTCCCGCCTTGCAGGCTAAACTACTAGCAGTCTAGTATGTTACAGCTCTTCTGGTTGAGCTGCACTATAGGGAGTCATTCACACAGACCGGTTTCGCTCTGTCCCTCTCTATCATGTGCTTATGTACTACAAAATCTCCGGCCCGCTCTGCTGGCCTTTGTCACAGGTACATATAATTATTCCCACTCATAGGGGTTCCCCGGGCTCTCCCCTGGGACTCATAGTGGATGCTTAGCACGCACGGCGTTGACCAGGTGTTCCCGTAGCGTAAGCTAGCTTACGCAATACGAGAGAACCTCTCGTAAGAGAACGAATCGGTTACCTAACGTAACCTCGGTTCTCTCTAGATGAGGGAACGAGTATTGCGTTCCTGGCCGTGCTTGTGCTCCTAGCGTTCTCGCTTCATTCTATGAAAACCAGAGTTTACAGCCTGGGACGCTAATTTATACTCTCTGACCACGCCCGTTTCGGCGGGCTCTGACGCAATGAGAGCAGGTCAGACTCTCAGTGGCCGAGAGTTCATTCGCGTCTCCTCATAGGCTTAAGCAGTTCTCTGTGAACGAACCAATGAGCTGCTAGCTAGCCCGCTCATGATCTGCTGCAGCTGAACTGCGTTGACAATGGATACAAAATTATAGGATAATTTTTTGGCTTCAAATTCTCAGAAAAGATGAATCTTTCCAGTAGCGTAAGCTAGCTTACGCAATACTCGTTCCCTAATCTAGAGAGAACCGAGGTTACGTTAAGTAACCGATTCGTTTTAACAAACTAGTTTATTAACGAACAAGCCCCTTTACATCATAGGTTAACTTTTAAAATAAATGAAGGCACAATAAAGGCATTTCTGTCATCAGAATTATATGAAAGCTGCTTATCAAATGGTCTGTAATCCTTCAAGTCCTGTACATGTCAGTGAATGTAAGTCCTGTGTCAGTGAAGTTGATTCAGTACCTTCGACTTAGCAACAGTACAGCAACAACATTCAGCAGATGAAAAACAGTTGCAGGATATGAGTGGATCAGTTGTGTCCAGTTTGCTAATTTAGGACCTTATTTTAATAAATAAAATACACATTGTTTTCAAATATATATTTTTTTTATTGGAGTATTAACACAATAAATATGTTTTAAAAAAATTTAAGTAGTAAATTATAAATGTAATAAATATTAGTGAGCCTAGTATGTAAATATACACGTGTATAATAAATAGAACAAACAATTATGATGTGCAAATATTAAAATATACACATTAAACATGCGTGCACATACAAATAAAAATAAATAAAACATACTTATTAAAAAGGCTACACTGTACATAAATCTGTACATACAGTACACAAATTTAATACAATAAAAAATAAACATGCTTATTAAAAAAGGCTATAGTGTACACTTTATGCATTGTGTTATAAACACCTTAATATGGTGTTTGGCTACTGGACCTACTGATGATCAGTATTGAAAACAAAGCTTTTAAGGAGGTGACAATGTATTGAAGGAACTCCTCCAGGAATATTATAGACAGCATGCTGTAAAAACTCCCAAATGGGAGCAGAAGGCTTTGGGTAGTTAATGTCATAGATGTAGAATATTTTGAAGCACACATCCACTGCTTGCAGTATGGTCTCCTTTTCAATTGCCTCCCCGTTGAAAATGATGAAAACTTGGGAGGAGTTCTCTTTGTCCCCAAGCACCAAGATGTGTGGATCCTGGCTTGTCTCACTAATTAGGTAATGCACCATATTAGTTCCAACCTTAAAAAGATAAATATACTTTAGTTGGCATATATAGGGACGAACATTCCATGGATACAATATATTTATTTACATGTCCATAATACACAGCATGTTTGTGTTTCTGCACATCTTTCTGATTGATTCCAGCATTAGAAATGAGTGGATGATTTATTTATTTTTAATGGCATTCTGGATCATCAGAGGATTATGTTTGTTCAGAACATTTAACTGCAGATTGTTTAGCAAATGAGGCAAAACATACTAATAATTTGTTTTGTGAATACATTACATTTAATCATTTAGCAGACGCTTTTATACAAAGCATTACATTTTTGTGCAAAATTTTATATCAACAATATAAATGAACCTCAAATAATATATATAAAAAAAATATATATATATATTAGGGGTGTCACGGTACATGAAAAAACATCCGAACCATTCGGTTCGCTTGTCTCGGTTCGGAGCGTGTGTGCGTCTCACGGTTCGACGCATTAACAATGTAGCCTCGTGCCCGTATGTGACCTCAGACGTGTTTCCTTTTCGCGCGAAATAAGACGTGTGTGGACACAACTGCTTATTGTGTCCAGTTGCTAACAGTAAAGTTCAGTGCATAGTTGTTTCACAGAGCAGGAAAGGCTGTGCAGATCCAACTTTCTCAAAATCCTGGAGTGCTGGTTCCCTAGACAACACAAAACCAGACCAATTACAATTAATACCATTTGTATTTTATAAATACAGCAAGTGTATGGTGGAAAAAGATCAATCATCTTAGACTTTCGTGACTCAAACAAGAAACTATTTTGGATAGATTAAAGGGATAGTTCACTTTAAAATGAAAATTCTGTCATTATTTACTCACCCTCAAGTTGTTTCAACCCTGTATGAATTTCTTTCTTCTGCTGAACACAATGGAATATATTTTGAAGAATGTCAGTAACCAAACAGTTAACTGATCCCATTGAGTTAACAGTTAACTGATTATTGAGGTTGAACTTATGTTTCACTTTATGATTATGGCCTGTGCTATTGCTATAGCCTAATTATAGGCAATTATGTTTCATGTATTTTGACTTATTAAAAGAGAGTTTTAAGAGTTCCTGTTTTTCTTTTAAAAGATACAATTTTTGTAAGAGCTAAACTTAAGTTGCCAGTTTGATGAATGCAAGTTAATTTCAATCTTTGTGTGCTAACAATGCACATGAGTTCCTGTAGAGATAGTGATACACATTATACTTTTTTTGCCAAATAAACGAAAAGCATGTCATCAATGTCTTCTCTCTTGCTGTATCAAAATCTCACCTAGCTTTCCTCGGAGATGGTCCCAATAATGTGCTTAAAGTCAAGATAAATTCAGTTTGTGCATGATTGCATGATATAACATATTTTTTAATACTGTATCCTAAATTGTGGATAATTAAGCTAATAGGCTATATATCATATGCTGAAGTACATTTCTGGAGTGTTAAAGATTAAAAGAAAAAATAACAACAAGAACCATACAGAACCGAAAACCTTGACCCTAAAATCTTAAAGCAAACCGAACCGTGGGTATTGTGAACCGTGCCACCCCTAATATATATGTATATATATAAATAAATATATATATATTAGGGGTGGAACGGTACATGTATTCGTATTGAACCGAAACGGTACGGGCGTCACGGTTCGGTGCATGCATTTACACGGAGAATACACGGGATAAAAATAAATAAAACTCGCGTGCAAATTAAGTAATGTAATGCGGAACTACTGTTAGATACGCGGGTTCTTTAGGGACACATAATCTGTAGCCCCGCCTTAGGCGAGCTCCGCATATGTATGCAGTTTTTTTTCGACGGTTCATTGAGTGAGTCAGAGATAGCAGCACTAACAGGGTATATGTAGGAATCATAGAGATGAATTTACTACCTTTTACTACCTTTTTTACTACCTCCACAATATTTTTTACTACCAACACGACATCAAGCAGCAGCCCTTTTTTGGGGGGTGTGGGAGGGGTATGCAAAGCACCACTTACTACTTACTATAAGGTATGGACACTGTCACACACATCATACATATTAGGTACACTAATGTTTAATTGTGATCATTACAAAAAAAAACATAATTGACAATGACAATATTAGTGTCGAGTTGAGTTTCAGTTGTCCTTATCTTAACCCTAGCCCTTGAGTTATCCTAACCATTACGTTAGCCCTTAGCCCTAATAAGGTGAATAATAACCTTGGCACTTCTTAAAAACAAATGACACTTAACAGCCATAAACATTAATAAAACGTCATGCTGATTTGTACTCGGCTTTCACCAAGATAAATATAGCAAATTAAGTTATTATGAATTAATAACATATATAATAACAATAACATTATTATAATTACTTACATTAATTACTCAAATATACTAATACACTAGGTGGTACAACCTGAGACATGCACTTTTTGTTTTGCTTTTCCCTCCATTGTACCGAACTCATACCTAACCGTGATGTCTGAACCGAGGTATGAACCGAACCGTGACTTCTGTGTACCGTTACACCCCTAATATATATATATATATATATATATATATATATATATATAGCTGATGTTGCAGTGTTGCTTTTACTTACTGGTTTAATGTCAATGAAGCTGCACTTCATTTCAGCATAAGTTGGACGGACCATTTTCCCATCTGTGCGGTATGGCGATGATGGCAGAACAGCAGGAAGGGTTTTAAAGGCAACTTCACCACGAATATCTTGAACGACAAGGTTTACAGAAAGAATGCTTACAGTTTTCAAAAAAAAAACAATGGATTAAATTATGTCTCACCCTAATTTTTTCTTGTTTAAATAATTACAGTATTCCTGAAGAAATGTACCTTCTTTATTCAATAACATGCCAGAAAGAGTGTGCTTACCATAGATATTTAGATACTAAAAGTAATTTTGGAAATTTCATATAAGTGATGGTGACAAGTCATATAAGTGATGGTGAAAAATGGTGCCGGTCAAAGTGACCGGCAGAGGTTTTGTTTAACGGACATTTTGATGATATGCCGGTCAAATATCGCCTCTTAATTAGTCAAGTTGAGGAAAACTGGAGGCAGGCTATGTAACTTAAAAAATGACATAATCAGGCCATATAGAATGCAACATGTTATTATTAGCCTAACTTTCAAATAGACGGAAAAAAACATGAAAGTCCGATTGGCGTCAATCAACACCAATTGTTTTTTACTATGGTTTCACACACATTCACTTTTTGAAACATTGAGGCACGGATGTACCTAATACAAATAAATAAAACATCTCCAGTTAACTAGCAGATCATTCATTTAGTTCGCTATTAAATAAGAGATCTAGCGCTAAAATCAGTTGTTTTTGAAATCAAGCTGAGCGCTCGTGTCCGCTGCTATCAGTTGCATGGACGACGCGCTGCGAGAATTGCACAATCTTCACTCGGACGCGCGTTTCAATCTATCGCTGTTGCGGACAGGCGAATAGAGCAGCACATACAATTTATACAAGACGAAATAAACTTTAAAGAAAGGCTTTACAAAACTTAATAAGTGGTCAAAATCTGACCCATTACAAATGTTTTCAGATATATTCCGGTCATCTTATGATCCTATCTTACTCATCTCATGCGGTTCTCTTTTCATATAGGCTAATCAACATAGATGAAATAAAAAAATAATAACATTATATTATTTATAAATATGAAACGTATGTTTAAGTTTTTTAACTTATAATAAGCGTCACACCGCTCCGCTTTGCTCACATGCTCTGGTGTGTAGCGTGTGCGTGCATGTGGTGGAGAGGGGTGCGATTTTCGAATAATAATCAACCCAGCGATCTTCGAATATGTTAATTTGTATAAATACAAATTATTTGTATAAATAGAAATACGTTTTGTATAAATTGTATCTTAATTTTAATCAATGTTTCATCAACAAATTTGCCTGGATTAATAAATAAGAAGCAAATATAGTGGACAATATAATCAGGACACGGAGCCGCCGGCGCGTGCACACTTCTCTCTATAGGCGCGTTCACTACTGCGAAGATGGCGAGTCTGCATCGTCAACTTTATCAATTTATCAATAATTCAAATGTTTCATGCATAGGCCTAATCATTACTTTCGCCAGTTTTGTGTCGAGCTTTATTTCAGGTGTTGCGTGATATCTCTGCGCCCAAGTATCAGTGCTTCGCCTGTGCTTCCAAAAATGCATTTGCCCACCTATCTATATGTAGGGGAGACCGTGAATAACCCCAATTTTTAAAAACGGTGGAGTCTTCCTTTAAGGCTAGCCTGCCTGGGCCTGGCCATATTTGAAACATCTCACTCAATCGTTCGTTGTTTAGGTCTATATTACAGCCGTTTTAGGCGTGCGCTTTATTTGAAATGCAGCATGCGATGTTGTTTAATAACTTTCACACGGTAGAGGCTGTTCCTTTATAACATAGCCAAAAGTTGGTGTATTTTTGCTTTATACATTTTAGGCTTATTCTCAAATAAATTCATATTGTGTTAGGGGGGCGGGATTATTACGCAATTTTAATCGGACAATTTGACCGGAGAGATTTAATTTTGTCGGACATTTCATTTTTTTCCCGGCCAATGTCCGGTAATTACCGGACAACGGAAACCCTGATGAAACTATAATTTGGTCAACAGATCTGAAACTACCTGTGCAGAGACTAGAAATGGTATACTTTATGTGATTTTAATAGGATGTCCTACCATTTGACAGTGTTTCCAGACTTTCTAGAAGGACATCAGCAGCCTTGGGTTCTTTTCTTGCAAAAAGTAAAATCCGGTCAGTGAAGACAGGAGCCCAAAACTCATAAAGGCGGTCTGCATTGTCAGGGAATAAAACTCCAAAGTCCTGTGATATCTAAACAAAAACATTAAATTGCAATTTTTTTTGCAAGATTACAAGTAACAATAGAATGAAGGATTTTACTTTTCTAAATAATAATCTAAATAATTCTCTAAAATGCAAATAATTATACTCACCATTCCAGGAAAATCGTAAAGTCTGGGATATTCTCTGTTTATTTCCTCAACAGTTTTTGTGCCAGAGGATCGAATCCACGCAGCACGATGAGGTGCTGTACGTATCATTAACTCCTCGACCTGGCTGTGAGGGCTTCTGTTGTTCTTTAGCCACTCAATCATTGTGTGAAGTTCAGTCAAAGATGACTCAGACTCTACAGCACATAAAACACACTATAATTAGAGAAAACATCAGGAGCCAGTTGCACCAACAGGGCTTTACTAAGCCTGGTCCTAACTGCTAAGTAGGTCTTAGTTAAGACCAGTCTTTAGAGTTGACCTAACGTCTGTTGCACCAACCAAACTTAAGCCTAGACATAACTACGCCTGGTTTTAGCTATGCGCGTTCCTGTGAATGGCCACGGAACTATAGCGGTTGCCTAGCAACGTGCGTTGCTGGAGTTACGTTGTAAACAATCTTCCGCTTTTTGGTTAACTTGTAGTCGTATCAATGGAGGATCAAAGAAAAAGGAAAGGAAATTTCACCGACATAGAGATACGAAAACTAATAGAGTTGTACAGTCAGCACAGACACACACTGACTGCCAAGCAATCCAACTCTATTACTAACAAGAAGAAACAAACAACATGGAGACAGATAACGGACGCGATTAATGATTGCTCTGACTCCGGCTGCCTTCGAACAGAGAGCGATGTAAGGAAAAAGTGGAAAGACCTCATGAGCAAAGCCAAAAAAGATTTATCTGCTACAAAACATCACCCGACCGGCGGGGGTCCTCCCCCCAAAACTTCCGTGTACAGTAACATAATTGTGGATATTTTTGGAGAGGATTCTCCGGCTTTTATTGGTTTAGTCGGTGCGGAAAGTGGCGGTACTGACCTGGAAAACAATGCTGTCTCTCCAGAGATGGATGTCGATCACTCAAGCGAGAGTGTGAATTGTGAAGGTGTGTAGTCTATATATTAGAGTAGCCTACAATTAAAGTTTTAATAACGTTAGTTGTCAGATAACAGTAGGCCTATGACAAATTATCTATATTTTCAGACTCGATGGAGACCCCAGTTACTCCACAAAGTTCGCATGAAGGCAGCAGCGGTGCACCGCCGGTGAAACGTATGAGGAGGCTGGATAATCTGCAGCAAACACTTCTCGAGAAAGAAATTGTTAGAGTGGAGGCTGAAACAAAGAAATTACAGACCGAGCAGGAAAAACTGGAACTTGAAAAACAAAAACTAGCATTAGAAATACAGTTTCTCCAACAAAAGATAAACAGGTCATCTGTGCCTATTTCTGAAGAGGATGGACGCTCTTTTGTATTTCTGTAAATAAGCCTAATGGCAAATTGAGTGCAATGAATCAATGACAATTATATGTAAATTAAAACAAGTTTATTATAGACCTACTGCACTTTCTTTGTGGCTTATTTTTTATGATTTACAACCTGCAGATAATTAGCAGAATTATTTTAAGCGAAGAAATATTTAACATTTATAAAGTGTTTACAATGCGTGTACGGACTAGTCGTCCACCGACATCTTCATGCCCTGCATGGTCCACAGGGTCGACACCTTCCTCCGGCACCGGCTGATAATGCCTAGGGAGAGGGATCCTCTTGGTGACACAGATATTGTGAAGGACAGTGCACGCTGCTATTACGGTGCAGACTCGCTCAGGGTGCATCCGCATCTCTCCATGAAGACAATGAAACCTAGAAAAAATAGTTAATGACTACTGTAAAACCTAAATGTGTCACTATTTATTTATTTTATTTTATTTATATATAGGCCTATATTTTATATTTTTAAATTAAACGTTTTAAAGTCAGTGACCGCGGTATCAGCACCATGGATACCGGCACAGACACTACGGAAAGGATTTTACCTGCGCTTAAGGACTCCGATGCACCGCTCAACGAGTGACCTAGTGGTAGTATGGATGGTGTTATACCGTCGTTCTTGCTCAGTCCTCGGAGCAATAATAGGCGTCATCAGCCAGTGTTTCAGTGGGTATCCGCTGTCGCCGAGAAGCAGCCCGTTTACTCTTCCAGCCTCGAAATCCTGATATAACGCACTCTCCCGGAGGATGCGTGCGTCATGGGTAGATCCAGGCCATCTCGCCACCAAATTAAAGATCTTATAATTGGCGTCACAAGCAATCTGCACATTGATTGAATGGTATCCCTTGCGGTTGACGTATAGATACTCATGATCAGATGGTGCCTGGATCCGGACGTGAGTCCCATCTATGCAGCCCACAATACCAGGAATGCCAGAGGCCCGACGGAATCGCTGTTTCATCACCACACACTCAGCCTCAGTGGGGAGGTGAGCAGATCGCGGAAGGCGACGGCTCAGTGCCAGTGACACTCTGCGGATGGCCCGACATGCGGTGGATTTGTGGACATTAATCATGTCGCCAACAGTGTTTTGAAATGCACCATTAGCATAAAAACGTAGCGTTATTAACAGCTGTAATGCCGGTGTTAATGCTGCGTTGTGGTCCGACACAAACTGCAAGTCGGGTGACAGCTCTTCAACAAGTTCATATATATCTCTCCGACAGAATCGAAACCTCTCAATCAGCTCCTCATCATTGTAAATGTCCAATGGATTGGTTCTGTCCCTTATAACTAGGGTTGGGTACCGAAACTCGGTGCCAATAGGGAACCGGTTCCGACGTAAACGGTAGTAACCAGACCGAATAAGAAAGAAAATTTCGGTGCCTGATTTCGGTGCCTAACTTCATTAGGCACACACGCGCACACACACAAGGTCTCTCGCTCTCTCTCTCTCCGCCGTGCGTGTGCTACACAGTTTGGAGCACAGTTTCTTCTGTCTCGCATGCGCGCTCTTTCTCGCAAGGTTTGGCTGCATTTCACGTGTAAAATTACGTGTCAGAACGCCCTCTGGGTGTGCCGATAGTCTGAATCCATATAGAATCAAGCCAATTCATTGGCTGATGGCGCCGCATCGACGCACTTACGTCGTCATACTATGCTGTCGCGCGCGCGCCATCTGCTCCTCAGATTTCTCTGCCGAAAAAGGAAGCTGGTCGGCAGCGCGAGGAGCTTGGCTGCGTCCCGTTCCCTATTGAGAGATATGTTACACCAACCAGAGATGTTCTCTTTCATAGGTTCACTCAACGCTGCGTAGCTAAGAAGCAGTGGATTTGTATTTGTAGGCTGCTGTATCACGTGCCGTTTGAACTGACGCGCTACAGCGATCTGTCACATTTCAAAGAGCCAAAACGTTATTTATTGTGTGAATGTCGTAAAAATATTGACAGAATCTGACAGCTGTGGATTTGTTCCATATCAAAAGTAACCTTCTCTGTCTTGTCTGTCAGTGTCCTCTTTGTCCGCGATTTTTCTGTGTGAAAAGGGTCATTTGCGTGAGTCTCACGGTCAATGCGTGAGAGTTGGCAGCTCTGCCTGCTAGTAATCTCTATTAATCTCCAGTATTATTACATTGTTTGATACAATATTGTTTCATTTGATATTATGTAAATATGAATTTTTATTTTATATTGGTTTTATTATTACCATATGTTACTTGTATTTATATTATTTAAAGATTTAAGTTAATATTGTGTCCAGTTTGGCCCTGTAAATTAAAGGGTATTATTTTTTGATAAAGTGTGTGCGGTTTCATTTTCTTAAGTACCGATTTAAGAACCGTTTAAGCACCGGAACCGTTTAAAAAATACCGAGTAGGTACTGGAATCGGATAAAACCCAAACGATACCCAACCCTACTTATAACTCTCTCCCGTCTAAAAGCCCGTTCATTGTAAAGTCTGTGTATAAGACGTGCCATGTTTTTACTGCTGAGTTATCAAGTGGTTACTATAGAAACTTGCCGAGATTTTGAATTTACGCCTGCTACTGACTAGGCGTAAGATTTACGCCCGGTCTTAGCGAGAAGAGGACTTAAGCCTGGATGGTGCAACGGTCGTAACTATTAGGTCGGACTTAGAATGTTGAGTTAAGACCTACTTACCTTAAGACCAGGCGTAAGCCCTGTTGGTGCAACTGGCTCCTGGAAAAAACTTGAGTGCTATCTTAGTGTTTCCTAAACCTGGTTCTGGGGTACCCCTAGCACTGCAAATGTTTTTTCAAAAACAAACCTTGAAATCGAAAATACATTTTGGTCCAAAAATAACAAACTACGACTTTATTCAGCATTGTATTGTCTTCCGTTTCTGTTGTGGATCCGCGTTCAGTGACGCCGCTGACGTGTCTCTGGTGCATCCGTGTATTCGGGTTCAAATAAATATGGCTTGGCAAAAAAATGCAAGTCTTCCTCTGTGTCGAAATCCTTAGAAAGTCGTAGTTTTTGTTATTTTTGGACCAAAATGTATTTTCGATGCTTCAACACATTCTAACTAACCCACTGATGTCACATGGACTACTTTGATGATGTCTTTATTGCCTTTCTGGACAAGGATAGTATATCGTACATACATTTCCAAAGGAGGGACAGAAAGCTCTCAGACTAAATCTAAAATATCTTAAACTGTGTTCCGAAGATGAACGGAGGTCTTACGGGCTTGGGACGACATGAGGGTGAGTCATTAATGACATAATTTTCATTTTTGGGTGAACTAACCCTTTAAAAAAAAAAAACATTACTGGTGTGCATCTTGAGACAAACCAATGGCAGTTACAAATTTTAAGATATGTCAGTGCAAGTTGCTTTCAGTTAAAACAGCTCAAACATAGGCCCCATTTAAATTGCATGGTTCAAGTGACCCAATTCGGATATTCCCCAGTAAATGCGAGTCGTACGTCATTAAAAAGGGGGAAAAATCCGCGTCAACTGCGATCACATGACTTATTAATGGCACGATGAAGGACAGGCTCAACACAGTGGAGTCATTTTTTCTCTGCCTTACGAGAGCAATGTTTTGCTGACCTTTGAAAATAGTGCGGAAAGCAAAACACTGGATAATATAAACTTTTTAAAAAGTTGTGGAAATAAAATGTCTTCAAATACAATATTAAAAAATATTTACATTTTATCAGTTTTTATTGAAACTCATCATTGCCTGGGACACACAAAAGATGGCATTTACTGCAGAGGCATGTGAGGGTTAGGGCAGGCGGACAGGAGGGGGGGGGGGGGCTCGGCTGTCCTTAAGGGGAGGCTACTGTAAGGGGAGGCTCACATTCACCCAATTAAAAAAAAAAAAAACCTGGTCTAGAACAGTGACTTGGGCAAATGTCCGAGCAAGAGGGAACCAGTTCATTACCATTAACAAACAAAATCTTAAATATATATATATATATATATATATATATATATATATATATATATATATAAATGCATCACTAAATGAAATAGATTAACTTACCTTGAAATGTTTCTATTAAATTGCAGAGGTTCCACTGTTGTAGTTTGTCCCTAACAAATGAATCCATTTATCTAAAACATAAGTATAAACACGTTTAGTACAAAACATTTAATACAAATGCAAAATTGTCATAGCATATACTATAAATAGATGCTATTCCGTTAACTTTCTCCTGTAATACATTTAATACAACATGCATTACTATATTAAAGCAGCTGTACGTTTACCTTGAAACATCAGTTTCAAACTCATTCTGATGGTAAACTAAACTGACCTAACTTACCTAAGTTATACAAACATGATGGTTAACTGACCTGACCCCACAAACAATAGCTATGCATGTTTGAGTGGTGTGGCGTTGGTACGAAAATCCGCGGAAAGAGCAGATTGCTTTACAGCAGCGGCGCTTTCGTCTGGGGTTTTTGTACTTTTATAACAGAGAATTCAGTGAATCAAACGTTTCTCACTGAATCTCACTGCATTGTTGTGGTGTCCGTCACTATGTGACGGTCCGAGCTGATAAATGATCCGTGCAGCGTAAATACTGATTAACGTTACCTACTTTAGTTTATCGGTATACATTTCACCAGGTATTTTTATTAACTTTAGGTAATAACGTTACATTTCTAAACGGTTTTGCTAATCTTTCGGTTAATGTTTTAATGGCGTTATTAATGCTAGCGAGAAAACTGGGATAGCTAACAACAATCGATCTGATCCGGAGAATAAAAAAAAGACAAAAGATGAACGATAACATAAAAAAAAAACAGTTCTAAGATATATTTGACGTTTCAGTGCACATTATTTCATGTTATAAAAGTTAAATATATATCATAAAACATCATATTACTTACCTTTCACAATCAGGCTGTCGCTGATGTCCGTTGAATGTCTATTGGTGCGTTCACACCGGACGCGAATAGCGCGTCAGGCGCGAGTGATTTCAATGTTAAGTCAATGCAAAGACGCGTTACGCGCGTAAAAAATTCCTGCGGCGCGAATGAGGCGTAGAGCGCGGCGCGGTAGACGCGAATACGCCTCATTCGCGCGTCAAGTTCGCGCGAATGGCGCGAATTGAGCGTCTGGCGCGTTAAGCGCGTTACGCGCGAATGATTTAGTTAGTGCTATTTGTGCATTCACGCGTTTGACGCGAATTCGCGTCTGCCGCCCGAGTTGAAAAATCTGAACTTCTGCGTCAATTCGCGCCGCGTTAACCAATCAGGAGCCTAGCTGCTTGCTGCTGTCACGTGGTGAAGTATCTGGATGCTTCAATAAATTATTTTGTAATATATGACTGTGGTTCTAATGCACAACTAAGCAAATATTTTATCACATAAAACTTGATTTCAATATATGAGACATATTCATTTTGCATTGAATGCTATTTATTCCATATCTAGATTATATGAAATATTATTATAATGTAAAGACAACCAACATATAAGTTCGTGTCTGGACAGTGATGTGTGAGAGAGAGAGAAAAATCACAGGACAGATTAATCACTTTTGGAGGCTGGCTTCATTTATTATCAAAACAAAAATAAATGACAGATTAGGTGGATGCGGGCGAGGGTGAACCTCGCGCCGGGCTGTAGAGCGCGGGCTCGACAGGCATAGCTAGACCACTCGAGGCCGAGGGCTTATACGGCCTACGCTGTCCTCATCAGCGTCCTCACAATTAGGTCCACCAAACCTAGCTCCTGGAGCAAATTGTGAAACTCCTGAAACCCTCCGGAGGTTCTGGTGGACCCGAGTACAGCGACGATGTCCCCTACGGAGCTGCTTCTGCTCTCCAGAGCATATACGAGCGGTGACTCTCTCGAATAATGCTAATGCTAATGCTCGATAAACATCTAAAAAGATGGCCGCCAACGGGTTTCGAAACTTTCGCCTCCGGATTTCGCCTCTGACGCGCGTAAATTTCGCTTCAAACTTTTGTTTTTACGCGCGTCAATTTCGCCATTGACACGCGAATTAACACAAAGTGGTCAAGCGTCAAACTAGACGCGGTAGACGCGAATTTGACGCGCTATTCGCGTCCGGTGTGAACGCACAGTATCACTGATGTCCGTTGAATGTCTGTCACTGACTGGTCCGTTAATATTTGAATCATCGAAGCGCGAACGTATTTAACCCAACAGTTAGGTTATAACTAAAAATACCCCAACGGCATAACCAAATAACCCAACAAATTTTTAGATAACCCAACATAATGACCCAACATGCATACACCAACGGTTGGGTTAAAAAAATAACCCAACGTTTTTTAGTGTGGTATAACTTTTCCCCTAATATATCTTCCTCCTCTCCCTTCCCTCCTTTCACTACAGTAAAAATAGAAGTGTTAATTTAACTCCTATAGAGTTGAATTTGACTCTGTTTCAGATAACATTTGGTCCCACTCGAAATCAGTGTAAAATTTACTCTTTGGTCAGTGTCAAGTTTTTAGAGTTAATTCTACTCAATATTGTGTAAAAAATAACAATGAAATGTGTAAAAGTATTTAACACTGTAGTTTAATTGCACTGTTAAGAGTAATATGATTACACTGTATAGAGTTAATTTAACTACAATTTTACTTTTTAAAAAATGACACTTTAAGTGTAATATTTACTTTTCATTTCTCTAGTGTTTTTAAAAAATATAAAATCATAAGATGCAGTGTTACTGAATTATAGAACTATCAACTAGTATCAAATGAAAACAAGCACAATAGATCACAGCACTCACCATTTATTGTAACACAAAATAAGACAGGATTTTACATTGCAAACCCATTGCCTTGTCTCTGACAGAAACATGTATATCTTCATCATAAAAATGTTTACCAGAGAAAGCAAGATCTCTTCCATGAAAATCACTACAGAATTCAGTGAACTTTGAGCAACACCTGCTGCCTTTAGATCAGAAATTACAGCTGAACGACTATTAACAATGTATGGCGAAGATAACTGTGACTCAGCCTCTAAATGTTCAGTCGACTCTTCAACATGAGAAACATTACTTGTATTAACGGTACTTTGAGGATATGAAAGATCATATTCCACAGAATCAACTAAACTGCTTCCATGGCACTTATTGAGATGCTTTCTTAAACCAGAAAAACTACCAAAAGAACGTGAGCATCCTTCTGGACCACAATTCAAAAAAAGAGTCCTGCCTGTACATAGCCCATGAAGTACCTTAAAGTGCTTAACAAGGTTGTTTGGACTTCCATGGTCACTTTTGCAAAGAAAACACTTCATAGTTGTATCTCAACTAACGCACCATTCTTGCTCGCAACTCCGCAACTCTAGGAGTCTCCTTTGTTTCCCCTATGTCGATGTTATAGATGGTTGTTTGCACAAAAGTGAAAAAGCTGCTCAGGGAAGAACTGTATGACGTACCAAAGACGTAATGGGCTTTAAAGAGTTCGTCAAAAGCGCCAACTGAACCTTTTGTCTTGCATGGAAGTGCATGCTTGTCAACCACAATGAAGTAGGAGTGAATGGTGCTCTGTGTGGATCCCTGGGCGAGAAGGTAGGGCTGACTGCTTTGGGTGATGTTGTCTAGATGCTGCTGCACACTGGTTCCAACCTACAACAAAACACATTTAACAGAATTGTTTTGGTGACTAACTTCTGACAATAGATCAGATCACCTCAAACTGTGCACAAGATTGAGGTGATGGAAGATATATTTTAAACAACTGTTAAAGGATTAGTTCACTTTGAAAACATTATTTGCTGATAATTTACTAACCCCAATGTCATCCAAGAGGTCCATGTCTTTCTTTCTTCAGTCGAAAAGAAATTAAGGTTTGAGGAAAACATTCCATGATTTTTCTCCATATAATGGACTTCCATGGTGGCCAACGGTTTGAGGGTTCAAAGTCTGTCTCAATGCAGCTTCAAAGTCTCGACATGATCCCAGCAGAGAAATAAGGTTCTTATCGATCGGTCATTTTCAAAATAAAAATAAAAATAATATACTTTTTAACCACAATTGTACGTGTTGTAGAATCTCAAGATCCGCCACACATTACGTCATGACGTCGGAAAGGTAATTTGAACCCTCAAACCGTTGGTCACCATGGAAGTCCATTATATGGAGAAAAATCATGGAATGTTTTCCTCAAACCTTAATTTCTTTTCGACTGAAGAAAGAAAGACATGGACCTCTTGGATGACATGAGGGTTAGTAAATAATCAGCAAAAATTTTTTTAGAAGTGAACTAATCCTTTAAGCATACCTTTTGAAATCTGATGAGCTGATCTACAGCTTGATAAGCTTTCCCGGCCTCTTTCTACCTTGTGCAGATGGTGGTAGCAAATGTAGCAGCAGCAAGATGGCAGACATGTCACTGTCCCAGCCTAAAAATAAGTAAATAAAAACCTGGTTAACATTATACCATAGCATAGCATTCAAATTGACAACTTGCACCAATATGAAAATGTACACTACACACCTACATTTCCCACAATAAAAAGTAAAACGGTTCCATTCATACCATTCTCAACATTAGCAGCTGACTCAGCATTGCGCATCAAATCCAAGAGTTCTGTGGTGGGTACAAGTCCATGGCTTTCCTTTATTACTTTTGCTTTGAAAGTGGTTGGCCACTTCTCCAAGAATTTGTTGGCCGTGGCCTCACCAAACAGAAGTCTGAAATCTTGTTCTATCTGCAATGTAACACATAGACAGAAGTGATGAGTGATACCTAATGCTACATTGGATATTTTGGTGATGCAGTGAATTATTAAGATGTCATACCAGTCCTGGTGTGTCCAGAAATCGTGGGAAGACCAAGAAGACATCTGATGATTTGGCTTCATCGTTGACCATTGCTTGCCGATATATGAAGGTCATTTTCATCTTCTCACGGACAGTCTTTTCATCAGCAGAGTGTCTCAAAACAGCAATAGCTGCTTCCACATCCTCATCAGATAGCTCTCTGTCATAGGTGAAGGGCTGACGACCACGGCCTGGCCCACCAACTTAAGACAAAATACAATGTTAAGAACAAATTTCTGTACAATTCACAGGTCACCATTATAATCACATGTCACTGATCAGTAAACATACCTTTAGGAGATTTGCTGACTGAGGCACCTCTTTCCTCTGCTGTTTTTCTTTGTATGGTCTTCAATCGCCATGCAAGGTATCCCGAACCACTCTCCGGATCGTAGTAATGTTCCTATGTGATTATAAATAAATTATAA